CTATGCAGTACAGTAAACATATTTAAAGGAACAAAACATGTTTTACATGGTGGTCACCTTGGAATGACCTTGACCTAAAATGGCTTTCATAATGACCTCTGATGAAATAGTTCCTATCAAAAATTAAAATTTTGTGTGCTTTTGTATGATTTTGCTGTAAAACACGACCACTTACAAACTATTAAGATTTTCTACGTATTTAACAGAGAAATGAAATTGAATGACTTTAAATGACCATCTGATCATGTCACAAGTGCTATAAATCCTTGACCATGAAAATATATTTTTAGACATCATAATTCTTATTGGAAGTTGTTTAAAAGCCGATATATTGATAAATATAGGTTTTGCGTGGCAGCCATTTTGAAATTTAAGATGGCTACCAGAATGACCTCGAATGAAATATTGTAGTTCATAGTAAAAGGTTTGAATTCTGAGAGCCTGGGTATGATTCTAATGTAAAATTTGACAATTACGTAATTTTAAAGATACCATACAATATTTGACCTTGAATGACCTTACATGACCCATTTGTGGCAATCTGACCAGGTCAAAAATGATATGATGGTATTCCTCGATCATATAAACATACTCTTAGACATTAGAATTATAATTCCAAGTGGTTTAGAAGCGGAGATATAGATAAACATAGGTTTTATTAGGCGGCTATTTTGAAATAAAAGATGGCCACCATAATGACCACGGATGAGGTGGTTCCTACCAAAAATTGAATGCTATGACCATAAGGAGCATGTAAAAAAAAAATTGGTGCTTTTGTCCGGAACGTCCACATTAAGTCCAAATATGGCACTAAGCTGCCGTACTATACCATGAACAATAGACATCAAAGGGGCTGCCTAGGCCTAGCTGCAAAGGTGTAACTATAGCAAGTTCAGTATTAAGTATCTTGAAATTACATGGATAATAATATTCAGGAATACCATAGCAATCATAATCTTCACTGGAACAATGCAAAACATGTAACATCAATGCAAAAACAGTCATTTTATAACTAAAGCACTTCACGGCCATCATGATTGATTGACCTCACATTCATGATTGATTGACCTCACATTCATAAGTAGACCTGAAAAATAATAATTTAATATATTTTCCAACTTAGTTTTGAAGGAAAAAACGGCCAGCGGGCCCCTCAATCATATTCGATAATTATTTATTTCAATTAAGTGGTGTATTCAAGGGGATCCCAGCTGCCCCCTCCTTTTTTTTTCAAAATTATTTTTTTAATGGGGGAAAAGGAAATTATACTCATTATATTATAAGTCTGAGATTGCCATTTCCGGCCATCTCGAGGTGCTATAATCATAAATTTTCTTTCTCTTTTTTGCAATTATAGTGGGGCTGAGGTGGTCGTCTTCATCCTTTCCCTGTGAAAATCCCTCCATGGCCCATCTATTTCGAATTACCTGATCCGCCAGTGCAGTAGAGGGTAAAAGAAGCAATTCTCATGATGAATTTTCTGAGAACTTCAGGGAATTCCCCTATCACATCAAAGGGCCTTTTCGCACCTAGCTACGCCGCTGATTGCATGCCGCCTACAAAATAAGAGAGACGGTAAGATGTCGAAGGCATGCTGTTGCTGGACACTAGGAAGCACAACGACGATAGGGAGTAGAACGTAATGACGTCACTAAACGTCTTCTGCGCATTCCAGAATGATAATTTGGCCAAATCACACTTTTCAAAGTAAGGGGGACATCATATCGATTTTTCCCCCACTTTTCACCCATCTTCTATAATTAAAACCCCACTTTTAAAAGCGAATGTAAAGAATAACAATCAATTTTGTCTGTTCAGTTTTCCGAGTGCAGTACGTATTTTGCGGACCAAAGCAGAGTAAAAAACCCAATTGTGTATATATTTCGTAACCATCTCAGAAACCACTAGATCGATTTTATGGTTGCAGCGGTTATCAGACACTAAATTTATTGTGAAAACAATGTACTGAACGTTGTTGAAATTGGAAGCGTGTTGCTTATTAGGCCAATATTTTTACAAACTCAAAAGTGCACAATGACTACTGTAAACGATTTATTCCTTTTGTATACCCGTACGTATGTGTTTAATATTATCTACATACATAGGATTACTGTTTTTCCTAATTTCAAAAATATATAGTTAGTCAATTGAATTTTATATAGCAATTATTAAATAATAATTTTACAGCCTTTGACATGGACATGTCCATCTATTTTGATTTAGTGATACCAAAATTTTACTCCAGTGTTACGTAGACACAATCTCGCAATGACTTCATAATAATCAGTGGCGGAATCAAGTGGGGCCGAGCCGACTCTAAAAACTTTTCAAAATTATTTTTAAAAAATGGGAAAAAAAGGAAAGTTATAATTAGAATTTAGGTCTGAGAGTGCCATTTCCGGCAAT